AATTGTTTGATTTATTAAAACACATGAGTAATTGTTTGATGTATTTTAAGACAATTATAACTGATTAGTGTAATTATGTTGTTATAACATTGATATAAAGCGAGAGATAAAAAAAATTGAAAGAGAGTAACAGTGAGAGAAAATAGGATGAAAGAATGAGAGGGAGAGAAATGAAAAAATCAAATCAAATCAAATCAAATTTTTACATATTTGAAAAGAAAATAAACTATCAATGGAGAGAATAAAAATTATGCATAATTTAAAGAAGGATAAATAAGTAAAAAAATTCAAAAGACCTAATCACAAGATGTTTTATTAAAATTGAAACTTAATAGAGTAAAATATTTATCCATACACTTTCTCTTAAATAAGTTTAAAAAAATGTATGTACATAAAAAAAAAAAAAAAAAAACTCTTTTTGAAACTCAAGAATGTTATCTCCAACTGAGGTAAACCAGGAGAATAAAATGAAGTTTAGTCAAACTTGACTGGACTAATATTATACTTAACTAAATTTATGTTAATTTATTTATTTAACGAATTTAATAAATTTGGTTATTTAACATCGAAACTTATTAAGACTATCTGTTCAAAACAAAAAAAAAGAATCGATTAAGACTATATGTAATTAATCAAATAAAAAAATCAACAACTATAATTATAATGATATTGTTGACTAGTGTGAACTGACAAATTCTTCTATTAGAGCATCAAATAAAAAAAATTAATTCTCAATGACTTTATCTCTTCTGCTCACTTAACAAAATATGCTTAGAGCAACTCCAAGTTATTTTAGCTAGTCAAAATAATACTTTTTATTCCACAATCTATTTTAAAAGATAATTTCTACTAATGCACTTCAAAAACGCTAGCTACTTTAACTAATTATTTCAATTAACTTTATCTGAGTATTAAAATCAGACCCACAAACCCATTTCCATATTTCGAATCCAAACTGAATCCTTTCAAAAAAAACATAACAAATCAGAGAATTTTTTTCCAAATTTGCTATCAGCGTCTGGATCCAAAGAATGAAAAACTAGACAAGCAAACCAAAGAATTTTTTTGGTTTCAGTGGGTTTGGTCATGGGTTTTTCAGTGGGATTTTCATGGGGTTTCGGTGGTTTTTCAGTGGATTTTTAGATGGGATTTCAGTGGATTTTTTTTGGTGAGATTTCAGTGGATTTTTTGGTGGGATTCCAATGGATTTTCAGTGGGATTTTAGTGATTTTTTTGTGGGATTTTAGTGGGTTTTCAGTGGTATAAATACACAGAGTTTTTGTGTGTGTGTGTCTATGAGAGAGAGAGAACTCCATACCTGGGTGGACGATGAATCTTTTGTGCGATGACGAAGATGAAATTGGGGGTGCTATGGAGCTTCTGTGAGAGAGACAGATAGAGTCAGGAATTTGGGGGTGTTGTGGAGTGACAAAATTGGCACAAAAGCGAGCTTTGTGGCACACCAGAAATAGCGAGGGAAGAATGGGTTATGGGAAATAGCCAGCGGAATACCTAACTTGTTGGAGCCAAATTTTATCGAAAGGGTATCTAAAAACTGATAACTAACATAAACGAGTTGTAAATTTAAATTTTTTGAATTCGAATCTTAACAATTCTTTAGAGTCATGTGATGTAGTATCGGTGACATAGTTATGTTTCTGCCCACTTTTCTACATCATCATATCATGTGGGATTTATTCTTTATAAATACTTTAATTTTCATATGAAATATTTATATTTGACTGAACTGGGGTGAATATTAGTCAAGATGTGTTTAAGCATGTCTGGACCTAAAACAAAACGATATTGTTGAACCAAGAAAAAATAAATTAAAAGGATAAAAAATTAAAACATCATGTTTCATAGAGAAAAGGAATGAGAATAAATGAAAAATGGATGAATGAGTTATCATTCTTAATCTCAAAAGTCAATTTTGCCAAAATTTGACCGAAAAGAAAAGAAAATGATACCCATATTAGGTAAAAATATGTTATTTATTTTTTTAGCGTTTAGCTAATTACTTATTTACATTAAACACATAAACCTAAACTTACATACCAGTTGGTGGAATTAAAACACCTAAACCCAACCTCATCTACTAGTCGGTGGAATGAATCTAGAAACCATAGAGAATGAGCGAAAATCAGCTGCTAATCTTATTTGTCGATTTCATCCCCTAGTCGATGATCGTCATAGATAAGCTTTGTAATATTCCCTGTTATCGTGTGATTTTCTGTCTACACACACATATATTGTCATAGATTGAATTGATTTTATAATTTTCGAGTTTCAAAATATTTACTCATTTTATTTTTGTCCAGTGTGATCTGCTTGAACAATTAAGTCAGGTAAGCTCTATGTATTTTCATGCTTGAATTAATTTTTTCAATTTCAAGCTACGATTATCCAGTGCGATCTGTCAATGCTGGTTTTCAATTTTATCTTTTTGCATGATATATTTCGTAGAGATTAGCTAATTCGGAAATCTCCTCTTTTATTGTAGTTTTTGATTTTTGACTTTCATGGTGTAAACAGGTGTTTTATAACTCATAAATATATTAGTGTTCCTAACTTTAGCGGCTTTAATTTTATGGCACACTATTTAAAACCTTTTTAAGTTCATGCCTCGAGACAAGGCTGGAGTAAAATGCTTCATGATTAGGTCCCATTGATGTTAAAAAAAGATGCTAGTGTCCTCGTATCTATCTATTGTTGGCTCTCTCTTGGATTGATGAATGAAGATTCTTTGTTCGTCAAGTGTGATAAAGCTTCTTTAGGAGTGAATGCTGGATGTATGATGCAATTTTAAGGAATTTAAGGGCGGGTCTTAGCGCAACGGTAAAATTATTTTATTGTGACTTGGAGGTCACGAGTTCGAATCGTGAAAACAATCTCTCTACTTGCTGAGGTAAAACTACATATATCTAACTATCTCCAAATCCCGCAATGACAAGAGATTATTGAAATTTGACAAAAACTCTTTACAATGATGAGAGCCTGATCTTGGGTATGACAAAATTTGAAGGGAGATTATTGAAATTTGACTGAAACTTTCTAATTGTTATGATAAAAAGTTTTAATATACTATGAATAAGTATATTAGTCATAATGACAGGAGTCTGATCTTGGGCATGACCAAATTTGAAGAGTTTGGTTCGAGGGAAGTTGTTGGAAATTAACTCAAACTCTCTAATTTTTATGAAGAAGAGTTTTAATATATTATGAATAGGTATATTAAAATGTGATAGGAAACATAAAAATCAAGTTGTATTTAAATAAATTTTGGTTACAGTATTTTACCTTATAAATAGATATGTGTATTATGTAATCAGTTATCAAATGATTAGATATCAGTGAATAATATATCAATGTAGGATTTTGATCCATGGATGTAAGTATGGTCTGTGGATGTAGGTACTGTGTATCAAATTGAGTATGATGTATCAAATCACGTTATATTTTGTATCATATTTTTATTATTTTTTTATTTTTGAATTCTTATTTTCTAATACCTCATGAAAGCAAATTGGGGATTCATCTTCCCAGTGGCAACCTTAAGGAAATCATCGTCCGTAAAAGAATATTGCCCTAAATTGACCAAAACAACCGACAAGCAATCAAAATCATGGCATTCAATACATTCATTTGCTTCAGAGGATGAATAACGATTATAACTAGCAAATGAAGGCCAAACAAGCATTGGTCAAATACAATTTCCAGTTTTTGTACTAACTTTCAGTTGCAAATAAGGAAGAACAGGACATTGATTCATCATTTGATCACAGACCAGTCACAAAATTAGAAATTCAGGGGCTGGAAATAGGATTCGGGAAGAGTACTACCTAATTCTGGATTCGATAACTTAACCCCATTCTATCAACACTTATTTATTTACTGAATTCATCTTCAGTCAATTCAAATGAAATCAAGTACAGTACAAAAGAATGAGTTATTTCAACTTCAGTCAATTTAAATGAAATCAAGAACTATATAAACGAGATAACCAATTAGAGAGGGAATCAGAAACCCTAACCTTTCTTGACCTCCCCTTTCTTAAGATCAACAACGTACGCCTCCTCATTGATTCCAATTTTCTGTACCATAAACTTACAAGTTAGGGCTTGTAATTCAATTTAAGCAAGCAAATCGAGCGAAAATTATTTATGTTAATTATCCCTTGTGCAAAACCAACAAGTGGTATCAAACTTGAAGAGAGAGCCTCGTATATCCCGCACACACATTCTAGAGTCTTCTCCATGGGAGTGAGTTCTTGATCTACAAGAGATTCAAGCCCAGTGCCATTGACCATTTTGAGAACTCCTACACAAGTTACTAACTGAATCCTTCAAACAAGAGATTTGGACACCTTTACTAAGCCTCTATTTACAAGATAATATTGCAGCGGAGAGGGGAAGGTGCTCACTACTCTCTAAGTATTTGAGGCGTCGCCTTGGGGGTTTGAGCGGAGATATAGTTGATGGCATCTGTATCTGGATAGACATTGCACTTGTGCATTAGTTAATACACTTGAGCAAATATAGATATACTGTTAATCAGAACCATGCATCCAAGTGTTATGAATTAAGCTATACATTGGGTAAGTTTGTTAAGATATTGATGTAGGACATCAGTATAAAATCAAAATAGAGGCTGTTTAGGAGCGGTGAACGGTGAATAGTACACCCAAAAACGTGCAGCTGCAGTATGTTTCAGTCCAGAGCAATAACATTGAAATTGTCGCGCTTAGCTCAAGAGAGGGAGTTCCCCTGAGGGATATCACTGCTTTTGTCCAGGACATTAGATTTTGTGCACACTGCAAGGTATATTCGGCTTCAGTTCTATACTTTCTTCAATTGAAACATGTTACGAGAAAAACTGAGGGGTCAGAAATATAAGCTGGGGGTAGCAAACCACTGCATCATCAAACTTAATGCACTTCAATAGCATCATAAGAAAGTGGCATTTCTTTTCAAACAACCATTTACCTTTCAAATGTTTGCAGCAATTTTCACAGCATTGGTGTCCATTCCACAACCTGGGGAGTGTGACTACAAGCTCGGCAAAAGAAAAAGAAATATAGAGCCAAAGATATGAGAATCAGTAAACTAGAACAGAAAGAAAGAACTCAATTCAGATGTCTAAATTTAATTACAGCATCAACTTATCCGCAAAGAAACAAAATGCGACTAAAGTTTCAGGTGGTGGAGGCCTGGAGGGGGATTCAATCAACCAACTGACCATTATCTTGATGTTGTTTCCCATTGAGAAGTGGTGGTGTTGATGGTGGTGAAACTTTGGCATTGCAGTGCATCTTTGAAGCTTTAGGGTCACAAGACTTCGATTTGAGCCTTAAACCCAACATTTTGCATAAGCTGTTCCAACTCCGCTTGGTCTTCACAAGCTTCTCCATCTCTTGTTTCATGCTTAAGCACTCATTTTCAAGCTCAGTAACCCGTTCCCTGATATCATCAACAGCAACAATTCGATTATCTGCACAGCCTAATTGGATGGCACGGTCATTCCTGTTGGGTGCCAAATTACCGCTTGGATTTTGTGAGCTCTCAAGATTGTCTGTGACATATAACCAACTAGCTACAGATGTACGGAGTTGGAGCTGTTCAAAAAATAGAACTTGGACGATGACACGCAGTGGTAGTCTCTCATTCTGAGCTGCATGGGTGATTGCTTCTAATGAGAGCTTCTGGAAGTTCATGAGCCTGCAAAGTTGTTCCCTTTCAGAGTCCATGAGCCATGGATGTGCCTGAAGTTCCAGAACCCATTAGCACTCTAATATAAGATGTAAGTATCATTCAGAGAAGAATGACATCTACTAGCTACAACAAAATGATATCCTCCCCAAACCGCCTCCCATAGAAAGATAAAGAAAAAAACTAAAAAAAAAAAGGAAAATCAAAGATATTGGTGTTAGAGCTCAAAGTTGAAGGGATGATGCAAAGTTAGTGGCCCGAGCACAGTATTTTCAACGTGGTTGAGCAGAATCTAATGTTTTTACATAAAGGGTAGGCCAGTGGATGAGGCTCCCACTACCTCGAGGCTTGGGGAGAGTGAAATACACCAGCCTTATGTCACTAGCAAGAGGCTGTCTCCGTGACTCAACCTCGTAATGCTTCAATCACAATGGAACAATCTTACCTCTGCGCTAATGCCCACTCAATGTTTTCACATGTTTCACCCATATTCCACATAACCCTTGGTTATTTTCAAACATAACATCTGATAGTCAGGATAAGAGCAGTGATAAACATAGCACAAGCATCTGCTAATAAAGTTACACTGAAGATCAACAGAACATGGATACGTCAGAGACACATGAGCCAAGAAGTATAGTGCAAGAGTTGAGAATATGGCACAAGAAGCAAATGAATTTATTTTAGCATGCAGCAATACTCCATCCCATAGCTAAATACTAAACAAACTAAAAGTGAAGAATTAGTAAACAAAATGTAGAATTGTACAATTTGCTTGCAGGTGACTCCAACTGACAAAGAAACAGTTTTACAGCGCTGAATTCATATGCATACCAGTTAGTACCAGACATTTGGAAACCAGTAGCCAATGTGAAATGTACTTGAGGTGCATTTTTTTCCAATAAGTTCTTCTGCCCTCTAGCATTATTTACTAAAAGGTAAGATTTGTATTATCCGTTTACCCCCGTCAAATAGTTTTTAACGGATTACAAATAATTAAGACTTCCAAAATTTTCATTTCATTCCACATTTCTATATAGCCAAATGACATGCTTCATCAAGCAATAGAAGGTGGAAGTATTAGTCATTCATACTCATCTTTATTTTACCAGTCAAAATATATGCTTGGATTTTCTGAGTTCTCCAAAAATTTCGTATCTGTTGTTCTCTATACTTGCGGATATAAATCACTAAAAAGGAGTTTTGTCATTTGATTACATTAAGATGGTTTGGTGCTTCTACATATGAATACCATCTACAATACCATACCTTGAGATGGAAAGGGTTAAATTCAGATTGCAGGATAAAACAATCTTATATGTAAGCAAAAAAGCACCTGCCTTTCGCAATAGAAATGCTCTTATAGGAGTAACCATCAAATATCATTTTTACCTTCAGATATATATCAATTGCCCGGTAAATACCATCCTCATTTTGTCTAGCATAATCTGGGATTACAGCAGCGAGTGACCGAAATTTCATTAACTTTAGATTAACATCGGGTGCCACCTCAGCCAAATAGTTGTCCACTAGATTAGCCACCATTGTCAATGGGGTCAGTTTGTGGGAACCTCCCATCATCTGCCCCTCATCATCCAAGCAATTTGAGGCAGACTCAATTGCATCTTCATCCACCAGCATGAAGTGATCAAGGATTCGTTGTACACAGTCAATATCATAGAGGGTTTCCACTGAGTAGCCCATATTTGGTATTAGAAGATCATCCATAACTGCTTGATCTAACTGGGACCCAACCCTCTTCTCCAAATTCTCCCGACAAGATGGACTTGCATGTAAAATCATGGATGTTCGAAGAAGCCTAAGCAGGAGCTTGGTTGGCGTTATTCCCTTTTGATCAGGTAGTAACTCCACAATCTCTTCAAGGAGAGTCCTTTGATCTGTCTGAGATGAGGCAGAAAGTGTTGGTCCAGGGGCAGCATGTGTCCCATTCTGAAGGCTTGATTGCCTGCCATTCAAGGGGAGATACTTTTTTGCATAGAACATAAGCGAGCCAGCAATCCTCTCTGGCTTCATGCCTCTCGAACCAACAGCCTGGATTAGCCTTTTATATAGAGGTAATCTGAGGGAGGACACATCCTCGTACCACCAATCCTCACTCAGAGAATGTGGCTTGGAAGCAGTATGTATTCCATTCCAAAAAACAGTGCCAACTGGACTCTGAGAGCCACTGCTTCCTGACACAGGCCAGCTGAACAAACTCGGATCTGTGCAAGCTTTCATTGCCAAGGAATTGATGCACCTGGAAACAATATGAAGCTCTTCGGCATTAGGAAGAACCTCCTCACAGGTTTCAAGAGCTTTAATCGTGTCAACCCAGTTGCCAAACACTTCGTCGAGAAAAGTCTCTGTTTGCATAATCAGGTTCCCGTCTCCATAGTCTTCAGTCATTTGAAGATAATCTGCTGCACACCTAAGACTGACTACATTCAGTGCAGTGAGTTCTATTTTAACACCATAACAGAACTTGGATACAAGCAAAAAGGTTTTCTCTCCTCCTGGTAAGTCATTAAGTTGCAGAACGGACTTCTTGTCGTCATCACCTTTTTTATCATCCCCATCAGAAAGTTCTGAGATATGATTTTCTAATACCCTGCTTCTGGACAACAATGGAAACTGCAACACAAGGGGAACAAAGGATAGCCAAGAGCAGCTCAATGAGTGATGACAAAGGGTTGGGGGTGAGGGGGATTGAAAAAAAGGAAACAAAAAATTGGGGGGGGGGGGAATAAAAGCATTTACAAAACAACTGCATTAAACACATCCACAAGAAACAGTGTTAAAGTGTTGTGAAACACAAAGCACGCAGAGCAGGAGGTTAAATTTTGAACTTTTCAAAGCATGCATACATAGAAGAGAAAAGAAAACAGAATGACAAACTATTTTTTATTGAAAAAAAAAGAAGAGAATGACCATAAGGAGATGGTGTTAACATACAAAGTGTGGTATAATATAATCAAAATAGAAAACACAGTGATGTTGGCCAACTGAAATACACCTTGTGGAGGTGAAATGCCATCTCTCCAACTTGAATAATGACATCATTTGGAAGGCCAGTTGAGCAGAGCCTGCGATAAACCACACTTATTGTTGGCTCTACACAGTATATATCAAAAGATAAAAAAATGTACAACACAAATAAAAACACAAATTCATACTTTATTGGGAACAATGCAGAAATCAATCGAGAAATTCTGTATATTTAAATTATTCAGAAGGTTGACTAATAATTCTAATACTAACATTAATGATGAACACTTACTTGATCAAAACTGGAGACAAAATTTTAGTGTTCAACAATTATGAGTCGTTTACTGGAATGTAAGCGCTGCAAGCATGCCACAGACATTTCAACAGAAGATGCAAGGTTCTTCAAAAATTTACACACAATGTATTTCATTACCATCTGTAGAAGACTTAAGAAAGAAACTTTCCAACCTATTGACCTGTAAAATGGTCACAACTATATATACCAAGATTGAACACGGTGAGAAACACTGAAACAGTAAACTGAATGGAGAAATAACCTTGGGATTACAAGGATATGATTGACTTCAGCACTTAAACCATAAGACACTTAGCAGACCTATAGGATGCAGGATCTCGCATCCCTGTTTATGATCCCAGGTTAGAGCTATGCAGAATATCACCATGTAAGACCAAAGACTCTGTTAAATGAAAACAGTACCTCAATTCAATTTGACCCAACTTAATCAAATATCCACATTCCACTCCCCTTTTCTTCCCCCTGAAGGAGCTAAAAATTAACAAAACGATTTAATTTGTCAATATATGATTTAGTCAACCTTACCTGTTTTGTTTCCAAAGTCTTTGCTGAAAAGCATCATCACATGGAAAATCTTTGAAAGAGTAGACCACTATGCAACTGACCCATTAGACCATCAACAACTTAACACCCTCAATTCAAGCCAATGCACATTTGAAAGTATAAAACTGTGCTGCCCAATTTATTTACCAAATTTTGTATTCTAAGTGATGTGTCAAAATCCCATACATCGAATATTTGGGGGAGTTAGTGAAACCCACTAATCCAACCACCTATATTGATTTGGGATACAAAATTTTGGCAACAATTTGGTCAGCATAACATTGCTCTTATCTTTATTCATGTCCAATTTGAGTTAACTAGAGGGAGATTGTACAAGTTATAACATTGGGTCCTGGATGATCTGTGATCCTCAGTAACGTCTTATATTTCTGTGTTCAACTTTTACAAATCAAATAGAAAAGAAGCCATGATGCAGGACATAGAGATCATGCAGAATAAACAAACACTACTATGAAAAGAAACTTGAACATCAGATAGAACTTTTCAAAAAATCATCAAATATAGGGAAATTAGGGAACGAAGGTCCTTGGAGGGAAGTTGGATTACAACCTTCAAGTCAGTCTAACACGGACTCTTGAAACAGTGCAAAGCACCTATGCCAGCCATGACATGGGAATGAGCACTGGACATGCATTTGTGATGCCTCCTATAAAACAGATATCATAGGGTTGTCTGTTGAAGGAAGAGACAACACATCCCCAGTGCACCACGAGTCCACGATTTCACTAAGAAGCCTCTATCTGTTTGTGGTTTAGGATAATTCTATTCGGGGGAAGTACCTTATCTTACAAGCTTTGTTTTGCAGAAACTTAATTTCACCCTATTAATGTTGTCTAGAATTGGATAATTGTTTAGTTTTGCATCAGCTTTCACGCATATATCCATGCAATATTCCAATAGTAAATTCATCATATAATATGAAATTCGACCGCATAGATGAGTCCCAATCCATTGGGTTAAAAAATTGACAGTTCAAATTAATTATCAAAGTCATATTTACCTATCAAGATCTCATTTGCATATATAACAAAGAAATGTATAATCCCTTAATTTCAATGTTTTATGGTTGGGTAGTTAAACAATTAGAGAATTCCACCCAGTTAAAAGTCAGGTCATGCATAGGAGTGTTGAATTTCGGATCCCTTCAAATGAACTAGGTTCATGTTTTTGTCATTCTTTTCTAATCATCCAGGTTATACAAACACATCTTCTTATGCAAGTGCACCTTGATGTTCTTTCCAATATCAAAGTATACACCATTTACTTTCCATGTGTCCTGGTAAGGTCCCTCTTCAGGAACCAAAAAATTACTAAGGTCATTCCCTGGTCTATAAAAATACTAATGGCAGGTCCCAAAGGAAGACGGGTTGTGAAAAAATTACATTCTAAAAACGTTACGAATGTTTGAACTTCAACAAGGCATACTTTTTAATCTTCAAAAGTGCTCAAGTAGTGAACATATGCAAGAACCAAAATGCAGATACAAGGTAGATATAAACTAAGTGGCTAACATATAGAATCAATTTTTCGAATGCCAAGCAATTGCAGCATAGGCAGTACATATACGCTAAGGGACTAACATAGAGAAATCGATTTCTCGAATGCCATAAACCAATACAGTATAAGCTGTTTGTGAATATTATCCAGTCAGTCAATCTTCTCCGGTGCCACTCCTTCCGAAAATCGATGTCTATATGTTAGTCCCTTGGTGTATATGTACCTTGTACCGGCACTGGATAATATTAACAAACACCTTCCACCTCATATGAGTCCTCGACATATTAATCTTCCCTTAAAGCATAATCTCAGACGATACACTAAAATAAAACTGAATTAATGCAACGTGTATCATGTTCACACATGCATTGTCCACTGAAACATACGTAGATCAAATCACTGACACAAAATGAACAAACCCATTGCACCAATTGGGAAAAAAAAAATCAAAACCCAATACGCAATTCTCAGAGAAAATGAACATGGGAAAAAAGAAAAATCAAAGAAATGACTGACCAGGTGTGGCCATCGCGGTGAAAAACTTCTGATTTGGATCCTAACTTCATTATACACGCCATGTAGTAATTACTCAACAGTCACACAAACGAAAAAAGAAGAATATATCTCAGCGTGGAACAAAAACAATTCAGAACGTAAATGAAATGAAGAACTGAGGAGGGAATGATACTGTATCAGTAATGATGATAACAATGCTGAAAGTGAAGGTGGACTTTGTCTCTCCACATGATCTTTTACTTCCTTTTGGGTGGAGAGAGAGAGAGAGGATGGTCCCGAGTCTATAGGAAGGAAAATCAAGGAGAGGAATCGGTTACTAAGGAGGTGTGTTTGGATTGGAGTAGTTGTTGGTATACAATAATCGCTCATTTAGTGTTCTTTTTATGAATATTAAATGGTGTTGATTCTTGGGTTTAGAAAGAAAAGTAAGGAATCTCCAGAGGAGGAATTCCTAGTTTCCATGGCAGGTCTTCTTGGTTATTGGATTCATCAGCTTTTTCCTTGTCGAGCTAGATGGGGACCAATGGGCTTTGAATTGGGAATATTGAATGGGTGCTTTTCTAGGATTCATGGTCTGGAGTCTCAACAACTTCCTTAATCAGGGTGGGTTAGGTGAACAATGTTGGACATCAACAAGGTCACGTGTGATGGAAACATTGCATAATCTTTCTCTTTCTCTCCACTCTCACTTCTTTTTCCTTTGATTTTTGTAAACTTTATGTTAATTTTGCACACTAAATAATGCACTGTGATTGTGGTATTCATTGCACACCCAAGTTGTCAATGGGATTGTCCTCGAATAGTCTAATTCATATTTATCGAATATAAGTTGTGTTTAATTACATTCATTCTCTAATACTATGAAAGACTTTGCTACACACAAGAATTCCCTTTTTAAGTGAAGTGAAGTATGGGAGAAACTTATTCCTTACTGACTTTTGGGTCGATTTGTTACGTACTGTTTGTTTCGTATAAAAGATTTTTTTTGTGACCGGGTTGCTACTGTTTCGTATAATCAAATCTTAAAATTAGAGCTTAAGAAAAAAGAGAAAGGTAACCAATCCCATTTGAGGAGTAATTGTATTTCAAATTGCAGATCTTAAACTTTACTTTTATTTTAAGCGGTGGTGGTGGGGTAGACTTAATTAACAAATGGGTGTGACAGATTTATTCATTTATTCATTTATTTTTTATTTTCGTGTCTGTTTTATGTTTAATTGTATTGGTATGAAAAATGAACTCTTGACTTGGTTTGGATTTGATTGAACTCGGTTGATGAGAGGAAGTTTGGTACGATGGAAAAATGGAAAGATGAAAAGTTGGAGAGATAAATAATACATCACGTTTGATAATGAAAAAAAATAGGAAAGATGGAAAAGTTGATGAATTAACTTTCCTTCCAACTCACCAAAATTAATCCCTCCAAAATCGGAAGGAAAATGGATGGAAAGTTAATTATTTGTATTAAGATGTATCTTATTTGTTTATATATTATGTAAACATTAATTTCATATAAAAATACAATGATAAAATATATATATATATATATATATATATATATATATATATATATATATATATATATAATTAAAAATAAAATAAAAAATTTTAAATTTTAAATTAAATTTTTTTTTTTCATCTTAACTAGGAGTGAAAATTTTCAACTCAACACGATGGCATGACACGACTCGAACTCAACACGAATTTTATGACACGAACTTGAAAATGACCTGACACGAGAACAAGAAATATAAAAAGTTCATAATTTTATGACTCAATACGAATCTGATACGACACGACTCGATTGTCACCCATAATTTTAGCCAGCACAAAAAAAATAAAAAAAAATAATTATTTTTATTTTCTTTCCATTCAACTAAACACAAAGGAATGAAAACGTATCATTCCTATTTTTTATCATTGAAAGATAGAAAGTGTATCCCTCCTACTTTTTATCCTCCCTACAAACGAAACATAAGATCAATGAGAGCCGGCGCTTCGCGTTTTTTGTATTCTATCCCATTCCGGGATAATTGATTTCAATTAAAGTCACTTATCTAATCCAGTCTATCATCGTATTTATATCTGAACTAGACATCAATCAAGGGTTTTTATCAAAATATGTATCGAGTAAATTCGGAGTAAATAACATTATTCGAAGGTGAATGTTTGTGCAGCCCAAAAGAGAAAAAGAAATCAAGCCCAGTCAGGAAAGACAGCAGCGAAACACGAGTCTACAACAGTTAGGGCCCAAAAATATACTGCCACTAGGCTACAAATGTCCCAGATGGCCCATATTCAGCCCGTATTCCTTCTCACTGAAAACTCCGAGGTCTACACTAGAGCAGAGTCGTCGAGACTCGAGAGTTCGTCAAACTGGTGAGAGGCGAGACGACGATGCCATGGAAGCTCCGCAGAGCTCTCTTCGATCAGCCCTTGTTTTCTCATTCATCGCAATAGCTTATCTCTCACTACTCGTCAGATCGGCCACTCTTTCTTCTCCTGAGCTTCAGATCCTTAACGCCGAACGCAGAGTGAGCTTTCTTATATACCTCAATCTGCCTGCAATGTGAAATATACGGCTTAAATTAATGGATGTTTGATCTTAATTGCCTAGTGATTGTGTTGATATTTTGCTCGTTCCTTTGTATAATCACACTGCATGCTCCGTTTGGTTGTGGAGAAAGTGAAAGAAAAGAGAGAAAATGGCAGCAAAATTTTGAATTTGTCCATTCGTAATAATTCACTTCATTGGCCTCTGAGAAAATGTAGGATGGAAAGAAATTCTAGAGATTTCATCGTATGAAACCTGAGGAAGAATTGACCTCCACTTATAAGCCTAAAAACCAATGTGTGTGTGTGAGTTGTCTTCTTGTTTTAATCGTGATAAATTCTTTCTGACATTAGTTGATACTGAATAGTAATCAACGGCAGGTAGGTTAACTTGGTTCGGTCTGTCTTGACTAGTATACCAATTGATTTTATGTCTCTTTTTAAAATGCCTTGTATGTTTGCTAGAAAGATTGAAGTGTTGATGAAAGATTTCTTATGGGAATGAGTGGGGGAGGGAAGGAAGGATCACTTGATTTGTTGGGAGGGTGTGACTAGGCCTAAAGATGAAGGTGGTCTTTTGGTTGGAAATTTGTTGGAAAGGAACGAAGTTTTTGTTGGAAAATTGTTTTGGAGATTCCCATCGGAGGAAGATTTATTGTGACATTCAGTTATTAGGAGTAAGTATAGGTTACAAGCTAATGGCTGGGATGCTAATGAAGTTAAAAGGAGAAGCTTTCGGAGTCAATTGAAGTTTATTTTGTAGTGTCTATCTTATTTTTCTCGGAGGATTAAGTTTACTATGGGGGATAGAATGAGGGTACATTTTCGGGAGGATATTTGGGTTGAAGAGTCTTCATTCTCTAGTCTTTTTCCTCATCTTTATAGACTTCCATCGTACGATGGTCGTTATGTTGCTTCTCTTGTTCGGTCTTTTATATTTGGGATTTTGGATTACACAAAAGTCTTAATGGTAAAGAATGTTCACAGTTATTGGAGTTTATCTCTTTTCCCAGTAATGTTTCTTTGATACAAAATCAGGTTGACCAACAGGTTTGTTTTCATGTAAATCCTTCTTTGAATCTTTAATCAATGATTCCATTGCCCCATTATTTTTTCCATCATCAAGGATTTAGAAAGTCAGAGTGTCTTTGAAGGCGCAACTTTGTGCTTGAGTGATTGCTTATGGGAAGATAAACACTAATGATGTCCTTCAATGAAGGAGACCTAATACTTGTTTGCTCCCGCAATTGTGTGTTATGAGTAGAAATGATAGTGAGAGTGTGGATCATTTATTTTTGCATTGTTGTACGGCGTTCACACTTTGGAAGAAGTTGTTTAATTTTGTGGGACTTTGTTGGATGAATTATAAGTCCATCGCTTCAATGCTTGGTTTGGATGCTATGTGCTGGAGAGGAAATAAAAAGATGAAGACTCTTTTGCTTTGCACTTATTTTGGTATTATTTGGGTCATTTGGTTGGTTGGAGAGGAATCCTAGGATCTTTGAAGATAAACATTGGGGGATGGAAGGATTATGGGATTGGATATTTTTCTTGGCTTCATTTTGGCATCAGTTACTAATGCATTTGAGAATATTATTTTTTTCTGCATCACTGTGAATTGGGCAGCTTCATGCGGAATGTAGCATGATCATTTTTTGTGGTTTTCGCTTTTATGTTGTTTATCTTTACCTATTGTAGAATGGATACCTTATCCACCATACATAGGATTTGTAACTTCTTATTATTTTTAATAAAAGTTATTGTTTTCTATCGAAAAAGAATAGTTATCAACAAGGCAGTGAAATGATCTGTACATTTACTTATGTTCGCTGTTTAGTGAAAGCTAATTTGTCTTCTATTTAGTTAATTATGTTTTTTTTTGGAGATAGATTAGATACTTTTTGTTCTAAATGTGGTGACTAAGATGTTGATATTCGATGCAGATTGACTTGACTTCTCACATTATCAGAGTGTACTTGACATTGAAGGTATTATTCCAAGAACACATTGTTTGCAATAGGAAAATTTTCCCCTTGTTTTTGGACAAAATTACAGTAAACAAGACACACCGTTGTTTTATTGATCATGGGGGATTTTTGAATTTTGTTCATTGAGCCAATAACTTGGGGTTCGAGTTTATTTTGATGTTGTCATTGTGGTTTTATTTACAAATTGATGGGCTGTTATTTTCTTCTTGTGCTTGTTTTCTGATTTCCTCTCAATTTAGAAGTCATGACCAAATATTGGGGTTCTACTTGTGACCCGGTTCAATGAGTATGCCAAGTCTAGATCCAAATATCTCCAAGCAGGTGTGACTGGTTATCGGATTTTGAAACCATTTTCTTAAGGTTAATTGGATAATGCCAGAAATTAAATGTATGCATTTCATATTACCATTTGGAAATTGCCTACATTGTTGGACATGCATTTGATTAACGGGCTGTTTCAGGTTGAAAATACTGGGGCAGCTCCTGCTTCAGAAATCTTTCTTGCCTTCCCACCTGCACAAGTTGATCATTTAGCAATTGTCAAAGCTGCTGCTACCTTTGGAAAGAAGAAAAAGAAATCTTATTTGCCTCTTGATGTGAACCCAACTGACCTGCCTGATGCGCCCAATGGAGCTAAATGCTTCTCCATATCTTTGGTCAGTCCATTGAAGACTGGTGAATCTGTCACTTTGGAAGTGCTATATATATTGTCACACTCGTTAGAACCTTTTCCAATTGAGATTAGCCAATCAGAGTCTCAATTGGTGTATTACCATGACAGCGCAATAATATTGTCACCATATCATATTAAACATCAGACAACATTTATTAAGACATCTAGTCCCAAGGTGGAATCCTTCACAAGAGTGGAACCCTCTGATCGTGTGGGTACAGAACTGAAGTATGGACCGTATGAAGACCGTCATTCCTATTCTTTTTCTCCCATAATTGTCCATTTTGAGAATAATAATCCATTTGCTGTTGTTGAGGAGCTTGTGCGTGAAGTCGAAATATCTCATTGGGGCAGCCTTCAGGTAACGGAGCGTTACAAGTTGGTTCATGCTGGTGCCCGACACAAAGGCGTGTTTTCAAGGTTAGTTAGCCTTCCATTTTCAGTGTTATCCCACTTGAATTTGGAATTACAAGATTAACTACCACCATATATTTGCCTTAGATTTGCTCTTGGTTGATGTCTGTTGGTAGTGAAGTATATTGTTTCACAATGTATTTATCAAGGGAAAGAAATCATCATGCGCAGAATATTTCCCGGTCAAAAACACAGAAATGAAAGATTCAGAGTGATAGATAGCCCTCCAATATATGTTGCTAAGAAATTTTAACTTGGTTCATTGTTTTTATGAGGACACAGATGCAAAACATATGGGCATCTATAATCATAAAACAAATGTGCTGTAACTTCTTGCCATCTGATTCACCATCATTAACTTCTCATCTACTTTTTCCCAAATTCCAAGAGAACAATGAAAGCTCATATATTTCTTTTAGAAGAATGAGAAAATTTGTGATATACAAAGTGACCTTATATAGTACTGTTGGAGACTTGCTAGGTTACTTACGGGATGAAGAGTAAGTTTATGCTCCATTTGGTAGGAAGGATGAAAAGTAGGAGGGATACACTTTGTATCCTTCAAAGATGAAAAGTAGGAATGATACACTTTCCTTCTTTTGAGTTTGATTGGATGGATAGAAAAAAAAATGACTAATTTTTTTTTGTACTAGTTATGATTAGAGGTGACAATCGAGTTGTGTCATATCAGATTCGTATTGAGTCATAAAATTATGAGCCTTTAATATTTCTTGTTCGCGTGACAGGTAATTTTCAAGTTCGTGTGGAGTTATAATCAAGTTCATGTCATAAAATTCGTGTCGAGTTTGAGTTGTGTCATCATTTTGAGTCAAAAATTTTCACCTCTAGTTAAGAGGAAAAAAATATTTTTTTTAATTTAAAATTTTTATATTTTTATATTTTTATATTTTTTTTAAAATATATATATATATATATATATATATATATAAATACATATTTTATCATTATTTTTTTATATGAAATTAATGTATACATAATATATGCATATATTAAAAGATATATAGACAAATAAGATACATCTCAATACAAATAATTAACTTTCCTTCTGATTTTGGTGAGTTGGAAGGAAAGTTAATTCATTTACTTTTCTATCCGTCCTATTTTCCTTCCCTACCAAATATGATGTTTTATTTATCCCTTCAACTTTCCATCATTCCATTTTTCCATCATACCAAACGAAGCATTAGTGACTTGACCAACATCCTCAAAAGAAAAAAAGAGTAAGAATTTTATTTGAAGTATACAGATTAGTAATGCCACAATACTTTAAAGTCTCATGATGTGAATTTTCTTCTCTTCTAAATTATAGTGAATTTATTTAAGATGTAAGGTATTGCAAGTACCGTACGAAATTCGCAAGTGAGAACACCTTCTCCTCTTCTCCCCCACTGTGGGCGTTGAGCAGTGAAAACAATTTACAAACATGTTGTCTTCTAATTATTAGTCATGCAAACTGTTTTTGTTTTGGTTGCTTTTTTCATCTTCTGAAGTTTCTTTTTGGCAGGCTTGAATATCAACATAGGCCACAGTTTAGTGGTGTCTCTTCGTTCAAGCATCTTCTTGCAACGCTACCCCCTAAGGTTCATTCTGTCTACTATCGAGATGAAATAGGGAACATCTCATCATCACATTTACGTACAAACTCTAAAAAGGTATTCATCATTCTTATTGCTTTTGTCTCCATTGTCATGCAACAAGGTTCAAGTGTGATTCTCTCGAGTAAATTAAATGTTGAGTTTGTCTTGAAGATATATGCTTGTTAGGCATGTTTTTTCTCCATAAATTGATTGCCAACTAAACATTGCTGGTATACTGAGCATGCTCAACATATTATATGTTTGATTAGAAATAAGTTGGCAGCTGTTAAGATTTTAAGTTGTTGGCACCCCAGTGAAGGATATTTCATCCTCATTTGTTCGTGTTAAACACCCCATATAAACTACTCCAATGTAGCATGATTAGATGAAATAGATAATTTTTTCTGCCTTATTTATTTACAATATGCATTTGCATAGCCAATTATACACTCACTCCTGTGTTTTGCTGGTTTGTTCCCCAACTTCATCGATTTATTTTGTGTTTCCTTGCTTTCCTCCTAGAGTGCAACTTCAAAATGATAAAGAACTGCCACTGGGCCACCGGGAGCCCTCACATTTTTCTGTTATGTTCTTGCTACATATGCTCCCTTTCATTGGTTGAATGATCTTAGCATCCGTCAGATATCAATTGGAAAATGATGATGGATTTTCTACATCTCATTTGTTTATTTGCAGTCTGAGCTGGAAATAGAGCCACGGTACCCTTTATTTGGGGGATGGAAAGCCACTTTTGTCATTGGATATGGTCTACCCTTGCAAGACTTCCTTTTTGAGTCACCTGATGGTAGGCGCTACCTGAACTTCAGTTTTGGATGTCCTCTTGCGGAGACTGTGGTCGACAAGTTGACCATCAAGGTGGATACAGTTTTATGATTCCATGTCATTCAATTATTTCAATATGGCACCTTTACCTTCTGTGCTTTTTTTAGAGATATGCTAAAAAATTGATACTGATGCGGGAACTGTTGCCTTTTAGGTGGTGCTGCCGGAGGGCTCGAAAAACCCATCTGCTGTTGTTCCTTTTGCAGTGGACCAGCGTATTGAGGTAATTTTCTCATGCATCGTCAAACAGACCCACACACAAGTTGTTTTAGCTGAAAATTACCATATGTGTGTCTTCATCAATGCTACTATTTATATCCTAGCATCTGTGTCATTTGATCCAGTAATATCATTTATTCTTTTATTTAAACTAAGGAGTGAATTGCTTTATAAATATCTCAAATGTACAACAATGTTAAATTGTTTTCTGCATGAAAATATTCATTGTGATGTTTAGGCAATAGCAGATACGTTTCTCCAATGCTTAAGTGCATTTATCCCTCAATATTCTGTATGCTGCATTGTTAATTGAAATTGCCCTTTCATTTAAATCTCTGCAGACCAGTTTCTCGTACCTTGATGTTGTTGGAAGGACTGTGGTGGTTTTAGAAAAGGAAAATGTAGTTCCTGAGCACAACTCTCCTTTCCAGGTGATTTTCAACTCTCTTGTGCAGATCAAATTTTGTGCATGCTTTTCATTATTTCTTTGAGGCTCGATTGCCCATTGAGTCAATTGGCAACCACATCTCGACAATTCAATTCTTTCAAAGTAGTTTAGAGATTCATGACTCTTCCACAACTGATGTACTGAGAAATACTTAATTTAGACATTTTAAGAAAAAATTGTGTTCAAAGTGGGATAACATCTTCTACATGTTGGTGCTTGAATAACAGGACGGAAGCAGAATTATAATAGGGCTTGATTGGCTTTTCTAACACCTGCTATCTTGTGCTTCTGTAGTACTTATATTTTTTAGCTAAAATGAGTTCGTTCATTAGTAAACTGTACTTCAGATATTTTATTTGTGTCAGAGAGGCTTGGTAGTTAGCATCTTACACCTGATGACTTACGGTTAGAGGCTTAAAAAGTGCCCATTGTTATTCTCAGATGGATAGTAATCTTAGCCTCAGGTCCTAAACTGATGATCATATATAGTTTTTCTTGACTACTAGAGACAATGACAGGACAGAGCGGAGATGTTTTATTTTTGTGCTGTAGGACTAATTCTTGGGGTTGATCACGCTTTTGTTATATGTACTACAAGCATTTATTCCTCCTAATTGTATTTACTCTAAAATTGTTTTTCCCTTTTGTTGTTGTTTACGAATACAAATCATAACAAGGAGTGTCCTTTCTACTGCTTTGTTACTTCTGTTTCTGTATAACTCGTGTGCCATTGACCCCCCTGGAAACCTACTTTGCAGGTTTACTACAACTTCAATCCTATTTTCATGGTCGCAGAGCCATTAATGTTGGCATCGGTGTTTTTCTTTTTTTTCATTGCATGTGTAACTTATCTGCATATGGATATTTCGATACGCAAGTGAGAGAGTTCAAATCTCGGGGGTTTTCAAAGGTATGCTCATGCAACTTAGTAGTGATGTTCCTCAAAATTGCTATTTTCTAAAACTTTTCCTCTTCACTTTGTAGCTGTGCTGGCAAGTCATTTCAGATTAGCCTCTGTGACTGGAGCATATGAGAAGTAGCTACAACTTTTCAGTAGGTTGACGGTAAAAGACTTTCCCGGGTACTTTTAGGATTATGAAATTTTCTAAGCGCAAACGGATAGTAGTCAAAAATATGTTGTTTGTACATTGTTTCCATCAGTGAATATTTTAATAGACCCCCCTGCATTCAAAGGGAGAATCAAAATGTTGTGGAATATTCACAATTAGCGCAAGTATTTTAGATGGGGAACACGCCCCATTTCTACAATTCTTACTCGCAAACAGCAGAAGATTCATCAGTGCCCGGTCTGGTAAAAAAGCTGAAAACTTTTAGTTCAATTCTTGAATTGGTTTTGCGATAGTAGGAAATATTGGAGATTCATTAGAAGCAGCAAGTTGTCTCACCTTAGCCTACTGTGAACATGATCATGGGGGCTTATCTTGCTATTATTATGTGGAATTGTTTTCTGTTATTCACCTGAAGAAAGGGATAGACCAAAGCGGTAATTATGGATTCAGTGCAGGTTGGAGATTCAAACGTCGTTATAGATGGAATTCTCTCTTGCATTTAGGTACATAGTTCTTGTAATCAAAATTGCCAAAAAAAAAATAAAATACAGAATCAAACCAGAATTGAAAATGCAATGAGGTTGTCTTGGCCAGAAGGAACAAATCTGAGCCAAGTTTTCATTCTCTTCGACAGATAAAGTTCTATTCAAAAAAAGAACTGTTATAATCAAAGGGTTAATTGCTTTTTATTCCACGGGGTTTCGACTATGAATATCTTTTTTACTTAATGTTTAAAATTATGAATATTATTCTGTTATAGTTATATACTAAAGTGAAGGAATTGACATTGTTAACGGAATTAAAAAATTATTATAATGTCCACATTTTAAAATTAGATTTTTTGTTTGATTCATTCTTAACTATAAAACTAATAGAACATATAGGCTTGACAATTGTGTTGAGCGGAATAGTTTTGTGGCGGGTGGAATGAATTTGTGTTAAAAAATCTTCAATCCATATCCTATTCATTTATATAAATGAGTCTAATTATTATATGTATACATGAATCGTTTATTAGTCGGGTTATCTGATATATCCCGTGTGTCACCCGCTAAATAAAAGAATAGGCTAGATAATTTTGAGTCCACGTGACAAATCATTAACTCATTATATATTATACATGTTTGATCTGTTTATTATAACAATAAATTATGGTTTGACAAAAAAATAAAGATAAAAAATAAGTATTAAATCACTACTAAATTTAAATGATTATGAGAAATGGGAGGTGTGAGATGAGACAGAGTTTAAGAGACTAAACTTGTTTTTTAAAATTTTTTTGTATCATTGCTAACGGGTTGAAACGAGTTTATGCGTTAAATACAAAATCGGTTCATTTATTTCACGAGTTTGCCGAGTTAACTCGTTAACCACCCAAACCCATTTGGACTACATCCAAACTCGTTAAATTCGTGTTAGGTTCATATCGATTTCACGAATCGTATTTAAAATTATCGAGTCTAGAAATTTAGCAACAAATTAACATATTTTAATTAAACATGTCGAATATTTTTTTCTAAAAAAGAATTATTGTAATCAAATCATCCCACCTCTCCCATGACTTTTAGCGTCATAAAAAAGTACACCCACCCCAACCCCACCTCCCCCATTCCTACCCCCACCAGGACACCATGAACCAAAATCAGGGTACTACAGAAATGGATGGGAACCAGAAAGTTTGATAAGGACCAGTGATGTCATGTAACTGCAACCCCCCACGCCCCCTGAATCTGCTGTTCTGCGTTGACCAATTCTCTCTTTTACTCTCAGAAACTGGTCCATTACAACGCTTAAGCCCTATACAAAATGTTTGTTTTGGAACTCCATCTGCCTCAGACTTGTATACAAATTGAAGTCCTATAGTTGCTGGCATTGCTCTAAATAATACTGGGTTTTATCAGGTGATTTTAATGGGGTCAATGGTCATGACATCAATAGATTTGAATCTTTAAAGGGGAAGTGTGGTTCTATGGGGGGCAAGAGGGAGGGTTTATCAGGTTGCTTTAATAGGGTCAATTGTCCTGACATCATAGTAGATTTAAAAGGAGCTTAGAATAGATGTTTCACACTTTTGGAATAGGAAAATATATTTTTTATTTTTGGAGGGATGGTAACAACTTTATTACATCAGAGGTGTTCGATGTTGTCGGGCAAGGGAAGGGTTTCATGAGGTGACTTTAATTGGGTCCATAGTCATGACATTGGAATAGACCAAATCTTTTAAAAGGAGCTTGTAATGGATATTCAACGCTTTCGGAATAGGAAGAAAACTAGTTTTACTTTTTGATGAATAGAGAGAATATTATTCCTTTAGAGTTGTGCGATTTTATCGGTAAGGCCGATAATTGAACAAAATTTTACAAACTTGAGTTGACATTGTCGAACTCGTTTTTTTACAAGAGATTAAAAAATTATTCAAACTTGACTTGTTTAACAAATGAGCCGAGCCGAGCTAAGCTAAGCTTGAGCTCTAAATGATCTGAGCCGAGTAGAACCTGAGTGTAGTCCGAGTAACTCGAAAATTTAATTGAGTTGAATTTTATGAGATCGAATCGAGCCTAAAAAATTATTTAAGCTCAACTCGAATTGAGTCCTATATGAGTTAAATTCGAGCTGAGCCTGAGTAATTAGACTCGATTATCAACCCTAATTATCAGGAGGGGGAGGGTTGAAAACTTGAAATATCCGGCCAACTGAATTGACCCTTAGCTTCCTTCGAAAAACAAGTTAAACATAACTTTGTTAGGCAGTGTTAAATAAGAATGAAGGCTATAATGATACATAGGTTTATTGGTTCTTGACCTAATGTAAAATTTAGGTGGGGAATGTCATATCTTAGGGTGTAGTATGATGGTAATGGCAAACAATTAGAGTGGTTTGCTTTTGGTTCAAGTAATAACAGCTGGAAAATCACAATGAGTGGTATGATGTAAAGTCTTTGTCCCTTCTTTTTTGTTTTTTTCCCTATATTTTTAGATTACTTTGTATATCATATTTTTTTTTCCTTCTATACGACGATCAATTATACGAGACATTTGTCACTACATAATTTGTAAAGAATTAGATATACGTAGTAATACAATATGTATAAATAGACTATTTTCTTAATTCAAACCTATGACACTTATATCATAATTAAGGGTAATCAGTGTCTGAAGACATGATGAAACGTAAGTGAGAAACGATAAATTTAAAGGGGAGAGAAAATTCAATGTGAAAGGTTTTGAGAAGGATATTGATGACTATTTGATGAATCTATTTGAAACCGTCAGATGGTCTTATTGAAGTCTGTCTTGTTTTATATTATAAGATTATAGGTATAGATGAAACAATCTTATCTTTGAGTGAAACTAGCATGTACATCTAACACTTTTTCTTTTCTTTTTTTTGCTATAGGGTATTCAGGCACTACTCTCTCGAATTTGGATAATGGACACTATAGTCCGAGCGGGTTTAGCATATCTCCTGAAGAACAAGGGTAGATGACTCTTAAGAGGTATGAAAAGTGTTGAACATTAAACCTCTGAGTTATCAGATGACAGACTCAACCTTTGAGCCACCTCTAAAAATTCACTTACATCTAACTCTTGTCAATCTTATAATAGTAAAAACTTCGTCCCTTGGCCTTTTTTCTAAATAACTTTTGTTTTAAATTAAACATATGTCACAAGCAAGTAGACCTAAAAAGTTTAGGTTGATATAGGCAGCTAATTAAGACCAATTCCTACTGTCATTTGACTCTTACTACTTCTTGGTATCAACAAAATATCATTATTAGAGAAAGGTATCTAAGAATCTGTCTCTTCGAATTATTCTATTGTGCTTTTCTTAATTGCTTGTTATAGTTAAACCCATTGAACATCAATTAACAACTAAAATTTAAAAAAGAAGTTCTGATCTATCATCTATGTGATTTGGGTTAGGCAGCAGATAAGAAGATTACAAAGATTTATAATAAAAAATAATAATAATAAATCAATCATTAGGGTTAGGTTAGAAAATTACAAAGTTAAAAAAGATATTCAAATAATTGTAGTTAAGTACTATGATTTTGATGCTTGCCTTTTAAATTATTTCCTAAGCATCTTCCCAACTTATTCATGGTAGGTTGGATGCTGATTAATTTCCATTTAAAGGATGGAATTAGACAATTTTTTTTTCTTTTCTCTATACTTAGGAACAAAATTAGACATCTATCGACCAAGGGTTTAGTTTGGGTGACTTCATGTCATCTCCGAAGGCTCACTCTCGCTCGCAATACTATGTCGGGGGTTCGAATCTCTTTTAGACCATAAAACGGAAAAAATAATAAATTTGCAAGTCTTATGCGAAAATTTTGTAAGTAGAATTCACCTTAAGTATAAACTTGAGAGAATTCAATCAAAATTTCTTTTAATGGGTTTTATTTGTTAGACTTGGTAAAAGTTTTAATGTTACAAGTCAAGCAATAAAGAGTGTGAGATATGAATTATTAAGTAAGGTTGTGCTTGGATAATCAAATGGTGTGTGTAGGATAGGAACCGCATGTGCTTAGGAGGGTTAAACAGATTCTCTATAAGACCTGAATATCTTCTAATTAGCTAAAAAAATTATATATAAGATATTTTTTATGTTACACAATCCAAAAAATAAATTTAAATAACACCCGTAACGTGATTTTATCGAAATTACCCAGTTGCAAACTTGTGCATTAGCAGTTTTAGGGAAGAATTTGACTAGCGTAAAGAGGCTCTATTTAGGGCTAATGAAGCCTGTAAGAGTATAACTAGTCAAATTATGGATCTTCAGTAGGAAAAACTGAAATCAAAACACCAATATAAGGGGAAGTCTTCTCCTATAGTACTTTCCAACTGAAATAGATCAAAGAAATTAGTATCAGGGTAGTTTGGATGGAAAAATCAATAGTGATTACTCTTGAGATTACTAGTTGTACAATCACAAGGTAGTCTTGATTCATCCAACATTTTTATTTGCGGGTAATTGTGTGAATTCGAACCTTACATTACAATCACAAGTAAAAAAAATATATATATGCCGAGTGTGATGAAGACGATTCTTCGTTAATTAGAAATAAATAAAAAAAAACACTTTTTTCAACTCTATATCAAGCGCCATTTATCTCCAAAATATCAATAAAAACAAAAAATCTAAAGACACAACCATTTGTTCCTTGCACTCCGTGAAAGAAAAAAATAGAAAATGAATAGCAAATGTATATTACTTTGATGTACTTTATCATATAATTGAGGAGGTTGATTTATAGTACAAGAGAGTAATGGGATATATGGAACAAATATATAAATATTAACATCCCCATCAAACTCAGGTACATCATTGTGAGCAATAGAATTATGATTGTCACAATTAAAGTTTAAAGGGTCGTCAAAGGATGGTCGGGAAGCGATCAGAAAGTCACCGGA